AGGAAAAAAGGGGCACTCAGTCACTCCACTATATAACCTTGCTGCTTTGCTGTTTCCCTACAAATGATCCTGTCTTTGTCCTTTACCTTCTACATCTTATTAAACACACTTAATGAAGAACAGGGGTGGGCTCATTCCAGGACAGAAACAGTATACCATTTCTGCAACTTTTAAAAACATGTATGTGGATACCACATGAGCCTAAAGGCATAAATGGGTACAACTCTTAAAAAGGAAAGTGGGAATGGGGTGAGAGAGGGGTACAAATGAGGTCTCAGGTATGTGCAAAGCTTTATTGTAAAAATAAGCAATTAAGTAAAGATGGCAATATTAACTTTGTAAAGTCTGGATGGTGGACTTGTGTGACTGTTTCTCTGAATGCTTGAAAAAGCTTATCAATTTTTTAAAACAATATATATACTGGCAAACTTAAGAACTAGGAAGCCTACAGATACGTGAGAACCACATTAATCTACTAAAAAGAAAAAAACCTAAAATGAAAGTCAGCTGACTAATGAATGAGAGCAACAGATGGAGTATTTTTTATCCAAGGAGAGCAAGGATTTGCTATTCATTGACTCTGCCAGGGACACCCCCAGAAACATGCTACATACTCATTTGTAACTCCATGAATTAGGTATTTTCTCCATTTACAGATGCTGAAGCTGGCTCAGAAATTAACTTGGCCAGTGACACAATGGATGAAGCATAAAGTTAGGATTCAGAGTCAGGTTCAAAGGCTAGACTCAAGACTCAAGCTGTCTCGTCATGATGCCCAACCCAATAAACAAGCAGATGCAATTCTGGAGGAGTAACGAGCCATACAGGTGATAGGCTCTATGACTCTATGGTATCTTGCTACACTCTTTCCTCTTTAAAGTACTAACCAGAAGGTTCTTGAACAGGGGCTTTCTGTCCAAACTGCTTTTCCTGGTGCCCAGGTTGTCATAGTATCTTCATTATTAACCAGTGATGTGACCTTAGATTTAAAAGCAGTCACGATGAACCATGAGAGACTATGGACTCTGAGAAACAAACAGGGTTTTAGAGGGGAGGGGGAGGGGGGATTGGTTGGCCCCGTGATGGGTATTAAGGAGGGCACGTACTGCATGGAGCACTGGGTGTTATACGAAAACAATGGATCGTGGATCACCACATCAAAAAAAAAAAAAAAAAAAAAAGCAGTCACGAAATTTAACCGCCCCCAGCCCTCTTCACTGATAGGATAGCAGATGTGAGGACCGAAGGTCAGCCAAGTGCTTAAAAGCAGAGCTCGGTCACACTATAGTATGATAGCATTTAACAGTTATAATTGTCTGCATGTCACTAATTGTCGTCACTACCAGCCACAATTCCTACCCCAGACTGGAAACCCAGGGAGAGCAGGGACTTTATCCTACTGACCACCGGAGCCTCAGCACCTAGGACAGTGCCTGGCATACACACAACAGGCATTAAATATTTGTTCAAAACCTCATACGAGGTGGCAATTAAAAATAAGGCAAGAAACAAACGAGAGAATTTTCCTAACACATTAAGTGTATAAAGCAAGATTCTTCCATATGACCCAAACTTTATAAAATTATATATACTAGAGCCCGCAGAGTTGCTCAGGAGCCTCCTAGCTGTAGGTAAACAGTCACCTGCAGCCTCTCACTCTGGAACAGCCGGAAGAATGAGGCCATGTGAGAAGCAGCTCACTTACAAACTGTTACCAGTCATCTGGAGCACCTGCCCAATGACACTTGCGGGTGCAAATGTGAAACATGTCATGAAGTCTCCAGGGCCAGGCTCCTCAGCCACCTCCATAAGATCTCTTGCATTCATGCTTCAAATGCTCTAGGGGATGACCAGCCACCCATTACCTTAAATACATCTAGGTTACCTCCTCAAATTAAATGTCACCAAGACACATGGCATGTACCATACATCACACCATCCCAAATAAAATCTCCAAATACGTTCACCCAGGCATTTTCATTTGATGTGGTTAAACAAAACCGGTTATTCACAGAAAATTCTGAAGGATGGATTTTGGATAACCAAAACATTATCTCCTATTGTAGGACTGGGTGATATAGTGCAATTCATTTTTCGCATGCTGTTATCTAAATGTTTCTACAATTAACAAATTAATTCTGTAACAGTTACTAAATGCTTATTGAATTAACAAGGCTGAAAGTCACATGTCCAGTACACTGGACACTGTTCCAAAACTGTATTGATGGGGCGCCTCGGTGGCTCAGTTGGTTGAGGATCCAACTCTTGTTCGGCTCAGGTCATGATCTCAGGGTTGTGAAACTGAACCCCACATTTGGGCCCTGCGCTCAGTGGGGAGTCTGCTGGAGATTCTCTCTCCCTCTGCCCCTCCTGTTTGCATTGTCTCTTTAAAATAAATAAATCTTAAAAAAACAAAATTATATTGAAAATTGCTTTTGAAAAAGGGATCTCCTCTGTTATCCAGCAATACCAAAGTGGCCCAATGCTCACGTGCCAGAGTACAAAAAGACATGGTCCCTGCTTTTGATGGAACGTAACACAGGAGGCAAGGTGTGTACGTACAAAAATGTTAAAATGCCAGGCAGTATATGCTAAAGGTATATCAACAGGAGGTGCTTCATGCAAGTTTTGAGGAAGCATATACTCTTGTAAGCTGGAGTGAGGTTGGAAGGCTTCATGGCCAAGAGGATCTTGAACAGGACCTTGCACGAGGATTCAAATAAAACTGAAAGAGCAATTCAGAAAAGGGAAAAGCCTGAGCAGACTGTGAAATCTGGTAGTCAGTGTGTGTAACTGAGCAACAGTAAAGCAAACACCCGGCACTCACTCAAGAGCACAGAATCCTAATGTTTTCTCTGGGAAATGGTAAAAAGTACAGTGTTGGGGATGGGGGGGGTATGGAGGGTGTGGGGAGAAGGGAATGGGGCAACAAGTAGAGGCTCCGGGGCAAAGACATTTGGGAAAACTAGGTTTAACAAAGTATCAGGTATGTCTCTACTGCTGGAGTTCTCCAAGCTCTAGCACGGATAACGGATAACGTGCATTGAGCCTCCTCCTCCTGGGGAAGACATCATCTTATTTGACCACTCAGTCCTTTTTCACTGAAGAGATTCATACACAGCAAAACTTAGGACACACCTCTTTAACAGATAACAAAAGCAAAACAATAAAGGGCTTGAATGCCAACGGCAAACTTTGAGGTCCGGCCTCGGTCCAATCAGGCCTGGACTTTCCCCACTACAAGAGGAACTGCTGATGTACCCTTAAGTTTCTACACAGAACTCAAACCAGGTATTGCTGCCCCCACATAAGCACCTACTTGTCAGAATCCCCAGTGGCCAGCCCCATCCCTGTTCTTCTAAGACCACCTGGACAGTCAGCAGTGGCTTCCTGGTGATCTGCAGGCCTTGGACACATGCCTTCTCGTAAAGTGATTCAGGGACCTCTATGAGCAATGGGGAGCACCGGACAATCCCAAGCACATTATGAGAAAAACAGCAAGCGTTTTTCAAGTCTTGTGTGGTATAGAGCAGCTTTCTCAAATTAGAGGTGGCAAGCCGGCTTATGTGTTATAAAATCAGTTCAGGGGGCCATCACCGGCATTTCTTCAAAGAAAGAAAGGAAATAATAAAAAGAATGAAAAGAAAGGAAAGGAAAGGGGCGCCTGGGTGGCTCAGTTGTTAGGTGTCTGCCTTCGGCTCAGGTCGTGATCCCAAGGTCCTGGGATCGAACCCCGCGCATCAGGCTCCCTTGTGGGAGCCTGCTTCTCCCTCTCCCGCTCCCCGCCTCCCCCACTTGTGTTCCTTCTCTCGCTTTGTCTCTGTCAAATAAATAAATCTTAAAAAAAAAAAAAAAAAAAGGAAAGAGAAAAAGAAAAAAAAGAAAAAAAAAACCAGATGCACCACATGTACGAAGGGCAAGGAAGACTTTATGAAATTTGTCTCTATTACACATACTGGATTGACCTCTGTTCAAATGTATTTCCTACTTGGATCCCAGCTAAAAGGTCTGAAAGTCACTGTTCAGAAGATGCAGAACTCCGGGCGGAGGCTGGAGGCTGCTGTACTCGCCAGCTGAGTGAGGAGCAGTGGGAGAGGGCCAGCAGAAAGAATCATCATCAGAAGAGACACTTAAAAACAGTGAAGAGAATATAGGGGAAGGAAATCAAGGAAAACACTAAGGTATTCGCCCTGGGTCATTTGGGGGAAAGGTGGCTGTAATCCCAAACAGGCAAACTGTGAATGAGAGCAGGTTAACAGGTCCACAAGGGAGGTAGGGAGACACATTCAGGTTGAGACATATCTGGTTTCAAGAGACAGAGGACGTCCAGATGGAAGTACACAAATAGCTCTCCCACACCACACTCAAAAACAGGTCCCCAACATTGCTTTAATTTTAGTCACCTTTTACAATACCATATTAATTCCCTTTCAGTTAAACAATGTTTTGAATTTATGCTTTGTCCTCAACCAAGTGGTTATGACTCTGAAAAGCACATAATCGCACTAAAGAACCAATGCCATCAGTCTCTGGCTATTACATTATTTACCATCCCAAGGGCTTCACTTTGATTTAGCGTTTGATGGATAAGTACAGACAGGTCTGTCATTTGGCTCTGTGTGTGCGCGTACAATGGCCGCATCAGCACAGGGATGTGTGAGCCACATGAGCCCTACTGCACCAGCACCGGGAGAGTCCTGCCAAAGGGCACCCGTCAGCTGCCACACTGTCTGTGCCCACCCTGTGATGCTACACAGTTGGCTCAAGGGCCCTGCTGATCCAGCAAGAGGGCACGAGGGAAATGGCAGAACTCCAACAGATCACTTTAGCCAGGACTGAATCTCCAATGTACACCAGAATAGACATAATTAAACGAGGCAGTGTGGACTTAAAGGTAAAATGTCATCCCCACCAGGCCCTTGATGAAGCGAGTTTTGCTTTACAGAAGCCTTTTTATGAAGTAAATTACATTAATTACCAACATTTAAAAACATCCAACATTTAAGGGTTCTGAATCTCTGATTTATTAGACAGCATGGAAATAACAGGTTTAAATTATTTTACAAAAAGAGCTCTAGCTGCTCATAATAAACAGCAACTGGGCTTTCTGGGGATAAAAACAATTCTTCAGACTACCACACAAGGACACAAAGACTCCTCATCCTATACAGTCAGCATGAAAGGGCACACAGACAAGTTTTTTGTTAAGACAGAAAACAGAGAAATCCACATACTAAATAAGGTGTCCACAATGACTCTAACGCATCCCTTAGGGGATAAGTATGTATTTGTAGGAAGCAAAACAAAGCTTTCCATAGAGAAACCACTTTCACGAGATGATTAGGTGGACCTGCAATGAAGAAAATACATTTCAAAAGATGGTTCAGACTTACACTAAGTTTTCACTGAAACACTTAGAAAATAAAAGACCTTTCTCTGTATCAAAAGAATTTCTTAAAAAACATGTCACGGGTAAATTTCAGTAAAGGTCCAAGGCCCATCCAAAACATACATTTGCAAATAATATAAATAAAACACCGAAGTTTGACCACAGAAATACTATTTGGAACTAGCTAGAACAGGCCAAGCTAAGTTCGTGTTCTGCTTCAGGGCATTACATTAAAGTGAATCTCATTCTCACTATAATTTTTTTCTTTTTAACCTTAATCACCAGCGGCTGGGCAACTGAAATGGACATGAGAACTATATAAATGTCAGAGAAATATGTAAACCTTGTTAATGTTTCCAAAAATTCATTTAGAGATAGAAACAGGTCCAAATAGATGCCTGTCTAAATGTACTGCAATTACGTTACAATTATTTTTCCAAATACACAGATATGCTCTGTCTTTTCTCAGCTCATTACTGACTCAAACAATTTGCCCTTCTGGGATCAATTGTTTGCTAATAAATAATTGTTTACAGTCACAAAATGAAGTTAGGAGGTTTTCTTATTAGTTTTCCTTCTGCACCCTAATAAGATTGAAAACTAGCTGATTCCCAGGAGTCTAACCTTAACCTTGCTTTGTTGAACAGCCCAGGAAACGATGAACCATCTGCTTCGGAAAATAATGGACGGCCAAGAGGAAATACTGTTTAATTGTAGATTAACCTCCTCATGAGGCAGTCTGAGGCAGCTTTCGAATTAGCAACTACAACCAGCAAAAGAAACAAATGGCTCAAGAGCCTTTTCCTCCACCATTTAAGGTCCAGAAAGAATGCAAAAGGATTTTTATTACCTATATTTATTTACAAATATGTATTTCCACAGTGGAAACAAAATCAAGGTCAAAACTGATTCTCAAAAGTGTAATCACTGCCCTCCAATTTTGTTTGCCCAGAATACCCTTAATGCAACAAACCATCAACCATCTCATGCACTTAAAAGTGTTCGTTTAAAAAAAAAAAAATCAATAAAAACCTCTTTTCCATTATTTTCAGGTTCTTAATAATATTAAAATTAATATATTTCCCTGGTTTCTTTGTTAATAGTAATAAATCCACCATTGGGGAGTACGAATTGTTTTATTATCATCAACATGGCACTTAAGTAAATGAAATCTTGTCAAGTACATGGTGACCTACAAGTTCAAAAGAAAAAAGAACAGCATGAGATCAAAATGGCCGGCCAGGACAAGAAACACAAAAGTGAGAGATTAAATGCAAACACAGCCCTTTATCCAACAGGCCTCACATGCTAAGTCTTTGCTAATGTCAAACCTGTAAAAGTATGCATGATATTGAATATTTAATACTCTGCCCCTTTTCAGGGACTCAACCAATTTAGCAAGGGCGCTAAACCATTTTAACTCAGACAAGTAGAAGAATCCTGAACACATTCAGTCATTCCATATTTATGGAGGCCTGGGTAGAGAGGGACAGAGAACAGACAAAGACCCCTGGGGGCAAGTATTTTATGGTTTAACAAGAGCCTAAGTATCGGTTTTCCCTCAGGCCTGGTGCAGGTAATTAAGTAAAGAGCTTTGCCCTGTTGATACCAAAAAAATGTAAATCGTTCCTCTCTGTTAACAGTTACAACCAAGAGCCAAAGACAGCTATAAAAATTTCAAAACTACGGAAATTTGCTATTCCAGGCGAGGCCATATTACTCTGGGTTTCCAGTAAGACCTGAAGGTCATTCACTTTGTGTAAATATTAAAGAAACAACCTCTGTGGAGAGGAAAGATTTTTGGCAGTTCAAATTCTTAAATATCTTAAACAGAATTTGCTAAAATAAATTATTCTTGAATTCCTCAACTTAATTTTGAAGCAGTGAGCTAGTAATAACTCCAGAGATTCATATAATAGTGCCTATTCAAGAAGAATGAGAGTTTGACATTCTTCTCTACCCAACAACTAGGCACAATTTTATCCATCAGACGTCTATCAACCTACGGATATTGAAAGCTTGGGGAGAACAAGATAAAATCAAGTCCGACCCCACAGTCAGCTGTAATATGGAGCAGGCATCAACAATGCTATTCATGAATTTAGAAAAATTAATAAATCCTGGGTTGAATGCAAGAAAAGGCTCAAATACAGGTGAAGCATACTCACTTGGGTTTTGTTTCTGCATCTGTCACTTGGCGAATGAAGATACCATCTTCAGGATGTTCTGTGTCATCCATTTCATACATATACGACGATGCTATTGCGAGCGTGGTCCCGTCATTACTGAAGGCCAGGGACGCAATGCTGGTGGGGTACCGATGGAACTGGCACAGTCGCTTTTTGTTAAATGGATCCCAAATGTTTACAAATCCATCAGAGCCACCTGCAAGTCATTTCAAAAGAGGTAAAACGGTTCTTAAAAGCAGGTACAGAAAAAAACCATTATCCTTAATGGTTAATTTTTAAGGTCACAGAAGTTACATTTTCCCCACAGATGATAACATTTTTACTTCCTAAACATCAGAAAAAGCAAGCACAATTTTTTAAAAACTCTTCCTAAGTGCAATGAACTGTCTAATGTTCAGTTAAAGCAAAATTGTTGGGGCGCCTGGGTGGCTCAGTCGGTTGGGCGTCCGACTCTTGATTTTGGCTCAGGTCAGGATCTTGGGGTTGTGAGATCGAGCGCCACGAGCCCCACGGGGCGCTCTGCGCTCAGTGCGGAGTCTGCTTGGGATTCTCTCTCTCCCTCTACCCCTCACCCCCTTTTCTCTCTACAATTAATTTAACTGAAATAAAATAAAGCAAAATTGTTATCTCAACGATGTGATGTAGGCACACGTGCTATACTATACCTGTAGCAAATGTATTGTGGATGTTGTGAAAGGAAATGGCATTGACTGGGTAAATCTGCTCGATATTGTTCTCCTTTAGTCTGTGACACTTGAAGGCATACTTCTTCTTCTGTACCTCAGGGCTTGGGTCCAGGTACTCAACTGCCACTCGGCCTTCAATGGAGCTCAATACATAACCCTGTCAAGAGGGAACCAGAGGACAAAAACGGTTACTCCAGCTTCCAAAAACAAGGCACTAATTCCCAAATTCAATCTGCACTAAAGAGGATTATTTCAGAAACGAAAGTACAGCCAGGTTTTAACCAGGTACAGGTTTTAAACTACAGTAACACAGCTATGACCAGTCCAAGAGTTAAAGAACATTTATACCCGTTCTATAAAAAAAGAAAAATAAGGCTATCACATCTAGTAATTTTGTCAAATCTAGACAAGATTTTTAAAGTGCTTTAGTATCATTTATTTGTTGTCTTGTCCAGAGGGGGCTCAAATTTGTGCTCTGTGCCTCTTCACCTCCAACAACTCTTAAGAACTGTGTGTCCTTCGGCGGGGGTGGGGGTGGGGTTATCAATGATCCGAATCAACTACAACACCAGTCTTCTGCCTCAGTCATTCTGCCTTTTGCATCTAAGTACAGCATGGTGAGTTCACACACAGACAACACAGGTTTTCAACAATGTTCAAAGTTGGTTTGCCGTTTCAAACCTTTTCTCACCTTTCCCTGAAAAGACAATATGTCAAAGAAACTAAAGGATATGATATTATGAACCCTATATTTTATTTATTTTTTTAATTCTAAAGGTATGAAGAAGAATTATTCCTGGAAAACTACTTGGGGAGAAAAAAAAATCAGTGAAATCTTAAAACTTCCATCATCAACTAGAAACATGTACTAACAAAGTTTTAGACATACGACATAAAAATAATATTTATAAATACAAGGATATCTTATCATCACAGTCAAATCTTTAAAAGTCACATAACTGCAATGCCTTATCTTCAATGGAAATTTACAATTTCCTGAGAAAAAGAACTGTGATCACCATTTGAGGTACCAGCCTTTCGAGATAAAGGGCCAAGAGAATAACTGACATAATTGCATCTAGCTCCTCAACCACTAAAGGATAGCATAAGATTTCAAAGATATCTGCCGTTTTTAATGACTTTTCCTCTCATAAAATTCTTATAGCAGCTGACACCACCACCAACTCTCCTTCAAACTTTAAGGATTTGAGGGGAAAAGAGGCTCACTAATAAACAGGGCAATCTTGTTTAGCAGTGATGATGGGGAGGGGAACCCACCCCACATTTCAAGAGGTAGTGATTACATAAGGATCAGCGCCTTCTCTTAAAAAAAAAAAAAAAAAAAAAAAATCCAAGTTCTGCTGTCAGACCAGCTAAAGAACTCTATTATTATCAGAGTTACAGAGGCAAAAAAAAAAAAAAAGAGTACAGCAAATTCCATAATCCTAAATCTCCAGATTTAAATTTGAATTCACCCGTTTGGTAAACTAAAATATGTGCAAAACGCTCCCTGATTACCATATACCTGTCAAGCATCCTGGACCAAGGAAATCAGAAGACCTCTATTCAAACCACTGGTAGATTACTTAACCTCTCTGAACATCAAGATCTTATCTGAAACTGGGTTAACACACTACTCTTTAACACAAGGCTGTTGAAAATGTAACTACAGCAAATTCTAAATCAGTACTCAAAACATTTTTTAAAAAGCAAAGCTTTAAAAGGCAGTGACCAATGAGATGAGATCTTATTTTCAAATTCGCAAACAGGGGATGGGGAATATGTCAGTACCTGCTTGTTTGGAAATGCCCGGATGCAGCGAGTCTGGTACTTGAGGCTGGACTCCCGGCGCTGTTGCACATAGCCCATGTTCCGTAAGTCCCACACCAGCACTCTGCGGCCTGCAGTGCCCACAATCAGCCGGTCTCCAGACACTGAGAGGGTATACACCTTTCAAGAAGACCAAAACTTACTAAACTCCACCTATTTGCCTAAACAGGCCGTTTAATCCCTGAAGAAGTCCACTAACTGTGAAACCATAAAAGTTGGCTGATCAGGTTCTCAAACACAGGTATTAAATTTTAAATGCTACAGTTACACAAACCAAGTAATGTGCACAAAATAATCAATCCAAAATATTCTTAATACTTAGCCATGTATCATATAATGTACATTCTAATTAATTCTGCAAAAACACTTTTGAGACTTAATTCTCTTGGTTACTGAAACAAATTCAATTATTAAGCAATTTTTCCAGCCTTCCTGTTTCATTTAGTAACAATGCAAGTGTAAAAACTACTCAAAAAGGAGATAATAAAGTCATAAAAACAATTCAAGATACCTCTCAATAGGCTTCTAGCTTTTCATAAAATAATCATTTTCCAAGTTATTTGTTTATGACCACCCTTTAAAAAAAGATTTCATGTTGTTAACTCTAAAAATCTTGATTTTCTAGCTGTCACAGTGAATAAAAAGGCCTTTCCAAGAAGAATGAAGGAGCCATCATTAATTAGCTGCTTAGTTGCTTTTGGTGGCATATGCACTCAAAATTAAAAGCCAAGAACAGTGGTCTGGCATGTGACAAAGCACATTCTTGTGCCTTGATGTCCTACTAAACACTCAAGACAAAGTTCATCTTTAGTGAAAATTTAAAAAGCATCTTCTCCCTTACAGGCATCTATTTTGCCCACATGATGCCCTTTTTACAATATTAAAAAAATTTCCATATAAAATTCCTTTATAATCACAGAATTTCCTGCCAGCAAGTATTTCAAGTGGTTTGTTTTCAAATAGCAAATTCAAGAAAATAGTGCCAAAATGTATTTTCCTGATCACATTAAATAATTTTTTTAAATCTAGACTTCAGGCATAAAGCTGTACTCTGGTTATTACTTTCAACTAAGAAGCAACTAATTTAATCTGAGTTAATATTTTAAAACCTGAAGAATCACTATTAAAAAATGAAGAGAGCCCATGGCCTGGTAAGACATCTCTTTAACATTCAGTAACTAAACCACAAGGTTAGTAATCACTAACGTGTTAACTATATACCACCACCCCAAAATACCAAGTTAGGTTTAACAATACAACAACCCAATAGTCGCAGATTTCTGACCTCAAAATTCAACAACTAATTTGACTAAGGGAAAAATCAGGAATTAAAAAGATTCAAAACAGCAGATTTAACATAAGCATATTTAAATAACAGAAATTCGAGATCTACCGCAGGTTACTCAGAAAGCACAATGTTTGCAGAAAAATAGAAATTAACCTCAGACACGTGAAACGCCAAACTTAAAAAACACAGAATCCAGAAAGAGATCGATTTATAACAGTACAATCAGATTGGGAATTTTATCTTAAATCTTTACTATACAGGTGACACACAAGCTTCTAATAGGGCTTTCTATCCCCACTGATCGTAAATCATGTGAAACCACTGTCATGCTACTGACTAGGTATATACATTTATCAAAGAAAGTATTAAAAAAGGTGACATAATGAACCTTGCTGAACCAATAAGCAGCTTGATTCAGTGTGGCTGTCCATTATACTATATTCTGTCAGCAATTTATCACAGCTCTTAACATGTTACATACAACCATAAATCAAAACTAGAAACAATGCAATTATTTTATTCTGAACAAAGGTCTTGCCAGAAGTAGATTCGACTGTGATGTGACAGAAATAATGGCTCTTTGGATGCACTACAGTATATAATGATGGCTAACAGGAACTGAATAGTATATTTACACTAAGGAAATAGACTCAAGTGAAGGATACCTTTAAACTGCTAAAACAATCAATCTTTAAAATTAACTACCACCTGATAAAGTCTGATGAGGCTACAGCAAGAATGCTCAATTACACTTTCATTGTACAGATCAAAAGATCAGAATAATACACAAAGTTTCAGTTTTAAAAAAGCTTTCTTCAGGAGAGCCTTCAAACGACATCTGTCAACATTAAAAATAAATAAATAAATGGCAAAACCCAGGGAATATAGGACACCTTTCTCACTAACTTCAACTTCAAAATAACCCATTCCACCCTCTTAACAGTCCACTCAAATGAAACCTCAGGTCATAAGTGAAAATGAGTGATGCTCTGTCCCACTTCCTGGTTTGGGCATGTCAAACCCAATTTAAGGCAATCCAACAAGTCTTTGCTAAATGACTTCTCTGAAAAGGCATTGAGTTGCTTCTCAGTCCCGGGATTTAAAGCATTAACAATACAGAGCAGTGGGTTTATTTAAGCCACTACTATCCAGTACAAAGATGACAACAAACAGAAAAAAAAAGCTGACCCAAATACCAAAATCCAATCCCTTTGCTTCAAAAAGAATCAACTTTTTTTTAAGTAATCTCTACACCCAATGTGGGGCTCAAACTCATAATCCCAAGATCAAGAGTCGTGTTCTTTACTGACTGAGCCAGTCAGGCACCTCTCATCAACTCTTAATTAACCTTCAAATTCAACACCATATTCATCAAACGTGCATCAAATCAAATCACCCCAAAGATTATAATTTCTATTTTGAATGTAAAGAGCCTACCTTTTCAGGCTGAGAGAAGGTCCCTGCATTACAAGGAGTTCTGGGATCCCACAGTTTAACTGTCTGGTCCCAACTCCCTGTCACCATCACGTTCACTTCAGGGCAGTATTCAACACATCTGATAGGGGCATCATGGGTTCCAACGAGATTTTCTACGGGGGGAAAAAAAAAAATCACCCAGCTTTACTACTACCTCCACTAAACAAAGATTCCTCAAGTGAACAATAGAAGGAAACACTGATTAAACTGTAATGAATCGGCTTCCACCAACTCAATGAAAATGTCTGCATATGGAAAAATTTCTACATGACTATAAGTAGTCATCCATTCCTCTCTGTTCACCTTACAATGCATAGTTTGATTCACTAACGTGGTACATACCAAAGGCTGACTTAAATTTCACATTACATTAAATTGGTGGCATATCTGGTTTTTTTCCCTCATTTGATTCTAGACTCCTTAAAATCAGAAACCTTGTTGAACGCCATAGTTCTGACTTTATCTACTGCAGGTTCTGATACACGGTAGGTACTCAAATACCTGCTGAATGAAAGAATGAGTAGAAAACTCTGGTTTCCTGGATCTGGATAAAACTTACTGCACTCAAGCCAACATTTATAAGAAACTTATTTACGTGGCAACAGGGTATCTGAAAGCTGGGGGATGAGGCAGGCAGGGAGTCTTATGATTAGTCCCCTTGGTTTTCATGGTGGGTCAAATTTCCAACAGACAATTTTTTTCCTTTCTATTTCAACTCTTCACACTTTCTCACCCATTCATTCAACGAACATCTACTAAATGTCAAGTATGTGCCAAAATCTATGCCACATGCTAAGGACATGACAAATAAAAATATGTGATCCTGATCCTCAACCAGGAAAACTACCTGTTTAAAAAATATATCATTTAAACAAGAAAAAAAAGGACCTCATGAAGTTCAGCAATGACCTCCTGAGAATAAACAGCTAATTCCCTTAACTATGGTCTCCATATCAAAAATCTTTGTATTTCAGTGTTTTTTTTCTTCTCAGTTTTCCAACAAATAGGACCCAAACCTGCAAGCTAACTTATATAATCTAACAAAACCAAAGTTTTGCAGTTCTAAGTTACATGACAAAGTGACTTTCATGAAATAACCTCTTCTAAGTTCTTGTTTTTTTGACAAAATATTGTGCTCAACTTCTTTCCATTCTCCCACTGTCCCGCTAATGCTCAGCTAGTCACATCTCTGTGACTTGCCAACTGCTTTAAGTACATCTATACCTAATGTATGCACGTACAAAAAAAATTTTTTTAATGCTCCAAGAGCTCCGTGCATTTGAGTTCCATTCCATTTCTGCTCTGTTCCAAAGTCACCATAAAAAATTGGTGAAGTCATTTCCTATCCAGGCCTCTAAGAAACTAACTTAAAAAAAAAGTCATCTTATTATTCATTCAATAAATGTAACTGAAGCATATTCTATGCTAAATCATCACACAAGCAGAATTAATACAGTAGCTGGACAGGACTGGCTATTTTATAATATCAGATTTTTAAAGACCTATCATCTTTCAGTCTGAACTAAATAAGCTCCTGAAAAGAGAGCACTCAAACATCAGCACTGTCCTGGAAAATCTTAATGAGCAGTAGACTACTATGGGGTCCAGTCCACCTCTGAGGACAGGTACAGGTCACATACTTAAGGACAACTTCATGTAAATACTCAGAGTGGTGATCCTAATGGAACGAATTTACTGAGAAAGTACATGCGCATTTTGTGATCAGTAATTTAATGGTTATCATTCAAACAAAAAAGTCTTAAATTGAAGCCACTATTACTTGTAAACAAATCGGGAACTAAGCAATTCAGGAACCACTCTTCCCAAATAAACATTTACACTTTAGTACCCTAGCTGAGAAAACAATAAACTGATAAAAATGTGCCCATATTACCTTGATCAGTGTTCAAATCATGCATTTTCAATTGATGGTCTAATCCCCCACTCCAAGCATGTGTTGGATCCTACAAAATAGAAGTTTCAAGTCATTCAAAAGTTATAGACGTTTACAAAGTGTTTCAAAATTCCTGTTTCTACAGCCAGCTGTTCACTTTATGCTCAGGATGATGTACACTGGGCTCTCACACACACAAAATAGAGCAAATAAGTGGTCACCAAAATAACAGCAAATTAAGGAAGGACTGTTCACCTCACTGGCTGTGAGCACACAGGTATTCCTATTTCCTAGGGAAAACAAAAAACCTTCCTTTTGATAAGGCAACCAAATTTTACTGTCTTGTTGTAAATTTCAAATACAAATGTCAGATATCCACAAAGTTTGCAGGGTTACTCTTTTTGAAAGAGGAGACCGTTTCCGCCGTCTGCATAACCCCAACCCCCCAAAAAACTGTATTTGGCTCAACACAGTGTTCAGGAAAATCTTAAGAGCTGGCCAAATAACTACCGACAGAAGCTTCTACCCGATACTGGTAGAAGGACGGTATCAACACAGGATATCCTAAAACAAAGAGGGCAGGTGCTCGAACTGAGGACACCTACATAGAAGGCGCAGTCCAGGACGGCGCCGGTGTGCTGGTACTTGAGCCGCATGGAGTTGGCCGGCACATCGTAGAGGCGCACCGACGTGTCCCAGGAGGAGACCAGCAGGAACTGGGACGTGTTGGGGCTGAACTTCACCGAGGAGATGCCGTCCTCGGGTGGCTGGTTCAGTTTGAACTCGTTAGAACCGGTCATCTACGGAACAAGCGACCAGTCAGTCCGCAATGGTTCGGGGTGTTGGGCTGACTGCACGCCGCGTATTCAGGGGGCTTCACGGTTAGGAGGTGCCTTACGGGCGCGCGGGCGGGGGGGTCTTAGAGGGGAGGGACCTAGAGAACCTCGGCGACCCGGAGTCTGCGCCTGCGCAGACCCTGCGCGCCCGCGGCAGTCGGAACTCACCCCCCCCATCCCCCGCCGCCCCTTCTAGGTGTCCCAAGCCGCCCGGCCCGCGCCCGGGTACCCCCAACTGCCGCCCCCAGCATAGCCTGCCGCGGGCTCCCGCACCCCGGCCCCTCCGCCAGGCCTACCGCCCCGGACGCTCCTAAAATAAAGAGGATTGGAAGGGAAACGGGTTCCCCGCGGCCGGCTCCGGCCTGGGATGTCACTAAAGAGTCCGCCCCAGAGCCCCGTCGCCTAGCCCCTGCTACCTTGGGCTCCGCTCAGAAACAACTTGGCCGCCGCTGACCGCCGCCACCACCAACCTCGCTTCGCTCCGAGCACTCGCGGGCTGGGCAAAAGAGGCGGAGAGGAAGCTCCAGCGTATGGCCGCCATTGGCTAATTTCAAACGCCAACGTCTCGCTCGAGGCAGCCAATTGGTCCGCTCGGAGGGCCCGGCGACGGTCAACCCAGCCATCTTGTTCCGGCTCAAAGGCAAACGGCGGCTTTTCCGATCACGTGGTCTCCCTTTATCACAAGGCTGAGGCACGGGTCCTCGAGAAGGACGAGGGGAAACTACAATTCCCAAAGTGCGCCGCGCCGAGGCTGAGCCCACGCTCTCTCCCGCCCGTGTGCAGCACGCTGGGAAATGTAGTTTCCTGGGGGCCGACGCCTGGTCGGTCTTCTGAATAGTAGGCGGGAAAGATGCTCTTTCCAATTGGACCCGTGGCGCACTCCCCAACTCGGTCTCTCGGACGCAAGAACCCCATTTTGGTCAATACTTCTGTAGAAGTAAATTATTCTCCCTTTCACCGGACATGCATACGCCCATGAAGTTAACCAAAAATTGGAGTGGAAATATTTGCTCTAATCAATTGCATTACTCTTCCCTGATTTATTCTCATTTTCCCGGCGTTTCCACCCCTTAGCCAGGGTCTCACATTTTCCATTGTCTTAAGATCTATGGATATCATAAAAACTCATCCTTATTTTTACTATGCTTTATCCCTCCATTCCATCTTTCTGCAAACATTTATTGAGCACCCACTGAATACCAGGCCCGGTGAGAGCATCTGGGAAGATACATTAATCAGACAGTCCTTGCTCTCGGGGAGGAACTCACTGTCCAGAAGGGTGGACAGCCTGGAAAAGAATTACTCTGCAGTGCGTTAGAGCTCGAAAGCTTCTGTATATTTAAGCAGCGTCCTAAAATGACAGCTACAAGCTTCTCCCCATTCACCTTCCCACCCCCAAAACTCCCTAGAGTTGCAGGCTCAGTTTGCTCCCATTATCTGTTTCTAGACTCCTACAGAAATAGGAGAATCGAGAAGTTGCTTCTGGAACTTACTTGACCTCCATGAAAGAAAAGTAATTCTTAATCTATAACTAGAATGCTGTGACTCAGTTACTCTTGAATATCAAAAACTCATTGATAATTTTCAATTTAATCCATAATGTAACCTCTTTTTCACTGCCTTTTGTGAAAAAAAAATTTATTTTATTATGTGATTTTGTGTGAAGCGGGAGGAAATTGTTGGAGTTACAGTGTTTAACTTTTAAGGTATATTAATAGAGGAAAAGTGTTGTTGGTCTTTACCCATTCACAGACCCTACGCAGGTGCACTTCTTTTCAGGATTCTTGACACAATAAAGACACACACAGTAACCACCCTTCTGCCCAATGTGTTGATATTACTGCTAAAAGAACAGAAACTTGCCCTCCCTCATTGCCAATCCTCATACTTGGTTCTCTATATTTCCTCTTTCAACAAGTTAATGGTGAGGTTAAGAATTTTAAAATGCAGTGCCTTACCTCCATTCTAACTTTGGCTAAATAATTTTATCTCCAAATAATTCTATTTGGTTCCCTCTCCCAGTTGTTTATTTAATTCTATTAGAGTTTCAAGATTCTGAGCATGAATTATCTGCTAATAAAATCTAAGTGTATTTCATTATACAGTGTGTGTATGATTCAGGTCCCTCTGGGCACGCAGTTGCAGCCGGACTCTATTCGAGTTTTAAGAAACGTCAATCTTTTAAATCCAGTTTACAGCCTGAATAGGAGGCTGATGATTTTGCTGATTATTCAAATGAATTGATAGTCTTGAGATAGGAGATCTGGCCACAATGGAATCCTGAACATTTTAAATCCAAATGCAAAGTCGTGTGTGTGTGTGTGTGTGTGTGTGTGTGTGTGTGTTAACACTCAGTTACCTGTAGGAGCAGGGAATTCCCAGAAACTAATTACAGTGTTGGATCACCTTTGACTGCTAATTTCTGAAGTAGTAAAAGGACTGAAATATCCACTATATGATATCATCCCTGAAATCTTAAGGGCAAAATCACTCTGCCATTAAGAGCCTAGAGTGGCTAGAGAAAACCACTTCCTATAAGATAAGTAAGCATAAGGAGGATATAGTGACCCAATACTGTTAAAACCATCATCTCTTGACAAAAACATAATCTGTTGAAATGCAGACAATAATGAGATGGATGGAATATTCCTATACAAGTAGGTCCTTGAGCAAATTGGTTGTTTCAGCATGGAATATTCAAATAAGAACTTTAAGGGACAGGAAGAATTTAAAGTGGGTCATCTGGAAAGAAAAAATTCTTTGGAATAAAATACATGTACCAAATAAGTCAGAAGAAAACGGACCCAGTGTCACTTTTGTTTTCTCTCTGTGTCTATCCAATATTTAGCCTAGTTCTCAGCAACTTCTAGGGCTCAGTAAATATTTACTGAGTTGAACTCAGCTGGAATGAAATAAGCGGACTAGAACTAACTTAGCATCTGCAGGTGCGTTCTTGGATAACAACCCTCTGACGTCATCTTGAAAGAGATTGTAATTTTCATGAAATCTTACATGAGAAGAAAACAACGACCTCAAAATGGACAAGAGACCAAGCACTTAAGATAGAATACTGCGGGTCCCATAGATCTGGTTTACAGATAGCCTCTACATTTTCATAAAATGCTGATAATTTCGATGCCTCTCGCCTCAGAGACAAGCCCGTCACGCAAGTGTTTTCCTTCTAGAGGATGAGGTCCGACCTCCGCCCTGCGCCCTCCCAGCACCCTTACACCGGCTAAGGAGACCTCGGGACCGGAGGCGGGAGGACCGGGGAGGTCTCCCCACGTGACACGGAATCATCGCCCTCTTCTAAGGTCCAGTCATCTTTTCCGACGTTTTACACGGAACGAGCGGCTGCGATCAAACATTGCAAAACCCTGCGATTGGCATGACACTCGCGCTGCTATTCTCTGGGTGCCGCGCCCTCCCAACCCGCGCGCGGCGGCAAGTGTTAGGGCACGGAAGCCGGTGGGCACGCAGGCCCCGCGCCGCGGTTCCTTTCAGCGCGACTGGCCACGTGCTTGCCCGTGACCCCTCCATTCAGCCACACACAATGCAAACTATAAACTATAAACAACAATCAAAAAGTGCGCGGTGCGCGGGAGCGCCTTTGCCGCGCGCCTAGTCTCCAGACTCGAATCCCTCCTCAGCCGAAGTGCCGCCTCTCCGCACCCAGTTCCCGCGCGGCGGGGGACGGAAAACTGTGCCACCCGCTCGGGAAGTGTACGCGGCTGCAAGCCTGTCGCGCCAGGCTGGGGGATGAGCAAAGCCGGCTCTGCACCTGGTTCAGGCAGCGCCATCCCACCTGACCTTCGCCCTTGGAAGGAGGCGCGTGGCACAGGCTGGACCACGTCGCACGGCGCCCTGCTGCGGCTAAGCCCGAGGCGCTCCCAGTGCTGGGAAGATGCTCGTTCGGGGAAGGCAGCGCTTCAGCAGTGAGGCTCCCAGCCTTTGTCCCTCTCAGCGCGGGCTCGGGAGATGGATTCCTGCCCAGGTGCGCCTCAGCCAGCGCCAGGTCTATGGGCACCGGGGAGCGGAAAGGGGTGCAGCTCTAGCCCACGTGCCGCCTCGACGGCGCCAAGGTCCCCATCTTTAACCCCTGACCCCAGTCCCACCCTCCACGTGGGGCGAGCAATACCTCTACTGCCTGCCGCACGCCTCCACCGAAAATCGAGAAAAGCCGCGCGTTAGCACGCACGCTGAGCAATCAATCTCAACAAAGTTAGCAACGATGCTTAAAATGTTTTATTTTTTTTTCCTCTTTAAAAATATTTACAGATCTGAAATCTCCTCCTACCCATCCTCGGAACGAGGAAAACGAAGAGGCGTTGAGATAACTGTGCAAACACCTCGCTGGCTTTGGCCGGCTGTGTGTGCATGTACATACATACAGGTGTATATATGGGGAGAGGGGTGTACCTGGTTCTGTTGGTGTTTTTCTGATTTTTCCCCCCTACCAATCAATGTAGATCTGGCCGAAACTCCCATTCCCACCACCACCCGAGAACATCCCCTCCACAATGGTTTTCAAAGCGTATTGGTTTGTTTGGGGTAGAAAGCAGGCGATCTGGCTTGAGAAATGCCGATAAATACCCGAAACAATCAAAACAAAAAGTAGGGCAGAGGCCATAAATAAGAGATAATGAATACACATGGTGTATTTCTTAATATTTCTGGCAACACACCGCCCCGCTCCGGAGCCCCGGGAGGGGGCAGCTGGAGGCGACCGGGAGAGCGCGGCGCGGGCCGGCGGCCGCTCAGTAGTCGAGCTTGTTGTAGAGGTTGTAGAGAGGTAAGGCCGAGAGGTTGCTGCCGGGGTAGTAGAGCGGCGCGGGGAAGGCGAGCGAGCGCGGCACCGGCACGCGCAGCAGCGAGCTGTCCCGGAACACCAGCGGCATTCCCACCAGAGTCTGCGCCGAGGCGTGCGCCATGTTGGCCGCCTCCAGCTCCGCCGAGAGCTGCCGCTTCCACTTGTTGCGGCGGTTCTGGAACCAAGTCTTGACCTGGGTCTCGGTGAGCTGCAGGCTGGAGGCGAGGCAGGCGCGCTCCGAGCTGCTCAGGTAGCGCTTCATGTCGAAGGTGGACTCGAGCTGGTACACCTGGCTGCGCGAGAAGACCGTGCGCGTCTTCTTTTTGGCGGCGCCCGCCTGCCGCTCGGCGCCGCCGTCCCGCGGCCGCTCTGGCCCTGGCGACGGCGAGCCCGCGGGCAGGAGCCTCTCTTTCTCTTCCTTAAAGTCCGGGTGCGAAGGAGAGAGGAAAGGCGTGCGCTCCGAGCTCGCCGGCCCCGCGCCTCCGCTGCCCTTGGGGGTACCTGGGGAGGGAGAACAGACAGGAAGGCATGGAGTTGGGGAGCCTCCGAACCCCCCAGCCCTGGCCAAGACGAGGTGGGGGGATGGCAGGCGGCTGCAGCCTTGGTCCCAACCCCTTCCTCTTCTCCCTTTCGCTGGAACCCAAAGCCCAGCACCCTAGCCTTGAAAAAGCAACGGGACCCAGCTATTTCGAGAGTATGGGGTCTCTGTGCCCCCAGCTTCGGTGAAAGGACATGTGGCAACGGGGAGCAAGTCTGGACGGGGGGGACATTAGCATCATTTTAAAAGGTGATTTTGCCTTGTAATAACTGAGCTGGAAGAGTTCCCCGAGCTTTATAGTGTGGCATCATTTCACAGGCCGTTTGTTCGGAAATCACGCTAAGGACTAACGCGGGGCTCCCCTTCGTCAGTGTTGTAAAGAGGAACCATCTCTGAAAGGCACCATTGTCAATCATCTTGGAGTGGTAATCAGGCCGGGGGGCGGGGGGGAGCGGGGAGAGGGAGAGAGAGGAGAAAAAAGAAGCTGGAAGAGATTGCAGTAGAGACAGACGGACCGCTGGGACCCGACTTCTAGACCTCTTGTTCGGAAAGTATCCCACCGATGTACAAAGGGGATATTGAGGGCACAGCCGTGTGTGCGGCCCGCCCTGTACCAGCCCGCTGTGGTATATTCTCCTTCCAACCCAACCTTCTCCAAGACGGTTCCCGTCACCTCCCTAGCCCCCTCCGGGAGGAGGAGACAACAACGCGCGCGTGTCCCCTCCCCTCCTCCCTGGACCCCGGGCGGCCGGGGCTCTGGCCAGAGGGGGCCTGGACCCCGGCACAGCTTCCCTCCCCTAGAGCTTGCTCGCGGCCGACCCGGCGGCGTGCGATCCTTACCCAGGCAAGGAAAGGGGATGGGGGGGTGATGCTTGGGGCCCGGCTCCTTGGGGCCGTGCGGGTCTGGGCAGAAGCAGGCAGGTGCCTTCCAGCCGTCGTCCGGCTCCTCCTCCTCCGAGGACACGGACAGGCTGCGCTTCCTGGCGGGCCAGCCCGCGGGCTCCCGTGGCACCTCCGAGGGGCCCCCGCCCAGGATGGACTGAATGGTGAAGCTGGAGACGCCGCCGGCCGCCGGACACCCCTTGCCTGCATCTTCCTTGCTGCCCATCCTGGGTTCATAAGAAATCGGAGGAAACCAAGAACTCCCTTTAGAGACGATCTGGGTGGAAGGTGGTGCAGGCAGGCAGGCGGGGGGAGGGGCGGGGAGGGGAGCCAGGGGGAGGGGGCGGCGAAGCTGGTGAGGCGTCCCCTCTGCGCGGGGGACACGCGGGCACGGGATGGCTGCACGGGGATCCCTGCCTGCCCGGCTCTGGGCGCGCCCGCCCAGCCCCGCCGCGAATGCCCCTTCCTTGCCCGCCAGCTCGCGGGGTCTCCAGCGGCGCGGAGGTGGCGCGGCCTCATTTGCATAGAGGTTACCCGGACGCGGCCAATCGCAGCGCCGCCGAGCGGCCCCGGAAATTTTCAAAAAGCCCAGGCCAGGCACGCAGCCACTGTGCGCCCCGGAGCGCACCGAGAACCCGGCGGGCATCTGCTGTGTCCAACCAGGGAGAGCAGGGCCGAAAGCAGCATAGATTCCAGCCCACGTTCCTAGCCTCTGTATCGACTCCCACCAGTGGGACTCCGGCCCCCTCGAGGGGCACGGGCAGTGCGGGGCTCCGAGCTGGAGTGGCCCGACGCCTCCGTCGGAGGAGCTCAAACAGGCTGCTCGAGGACCCTCCCCTAGCCTCCCACCCCTTCTCCTCGGGGCTGGCGGGCAGAACTGGCACCCCGCAGACCGCTGCGTCCGGCAAGGGAGGGAAGGGGTTCAGGAGCATGCGCCTCCGAACTGATGCCATTCCTGGGAGCTTAACTGGGAGGCCCGGGAGCAGACGACTTCTGCCCATCCCCTCCTACAGAGCTCACCCCTGTCACAGGCCCAACGGGCCTGCATAATCCCTGGGGTAGGAGAGACCTAGATCTTGTTGCAAGAGATCCTGGTTCAAGTCCCAGCACCACCATTTACAGGCTGCGTGAACTAGGACAAGTCCAGTTCCAGTTAGAACCTCCCTGCTCTCACAGGTGAAATGAACTTCTCATTAGCATCCTCCCCCTTTCTCCTGTTTTGAGGATGGCATTAGGTAGGAATGGGAAAGGCGCTGAAAACCCAGAAGAACTAGGAGCTCATAGTACCTACTCTGTAAACTTTTGCTTAATAGCTCACCGTCAACCGCCCACCCTGTTTCACAGGTGATTTCCGGTTTTTGGCAAATACTGCAGGCCATGGAATTGCTGCAGAAATAGAAGCGCTTTGATGCTGGGAAGAAGAGGAGGTGAGAACAGGTTTTGGTTTTAGAATTAGGCAAAGTCGATTCAAATCTCATCTGGGTGGCCTTGGACATGATACTAAAACTTTCTGAGCATCGGTTTCCTCCTTTCCTAAAATTAGAGGAAGAAATGCCTACCTCGAAGAAGTTAGGTTAGGTCAAAGTGGCCAACTCCGGGCCCGGGTTAAGTGTTTAATAAACCGTGGTTCGTTCCCTCCTTGCGGCCGCCTCTAAGCCCTGGCTCTCCCCCCCTTTAATTCCCAGATCGGCTGTTAGTGGATCTAGAAGCAGCCTGGTGCCGGCAAAACGGTACCGGGGCACAGTTGTCTACACAACATGGAGGAAACGAAGACGAGGTAAGGCCCCAAGGCGCTCAGGCAACGCCGCCACCCCCCCCCACCCCCCGCCCCGCCGCTGCGGCCTCGAGAATGCTGGACCAAGAGCTCTTGGGAGCCCCCTGCTCCTAGGATATTCCCCCAAAAGCAACCAAGGTGATAGGAGACTCTGGAATCAGTCCCCACAAATGTCCAGACGCTGCACCATGACGGTGCAGTTCCCTCCTCGCCCGCGCCGCGCCGGGTTATTGAGTAAAGCGCTTATAATATCATTAGCTGCGGTGAGTTACCGACTGCAACCCTACCCGTGGCAGAACCTCTCGCTACTTAACTCCTCGAAGGGCTCGTTAATGGGCTAATTGATTAGGAGTCGGCGGCGCAGCCGAGCAGGGGCAGGCGAGGGGGTGGAGGCTAGGGGCTGTGCGCCACGGCCCGGGAGGCCCGCGAGGGGCAGGTGCCGGCCTCCGTCACCGCATTAACCTCTTCAGGGCTCTGCGGCGGGGTCGAGACACATTACAAATGGTCAGCTTTAATCATGGTGTCAGCTCATTAACCCGGAAGGACCCGGCGCTGAAATACAATTTGTGCGTCCTCTGCGCGGCCGCGGCGCAGGCTCGGGGGCCACGTCGCAGCCTGTCCCGCGCGCTCCCGCTTGGTTGGGGGATAGAGGGGAGGTTCCTGGAAAGACACAGCCGACTCTCTCACCCTCCTGCAGCCTCTCCGCCTGCCTCAAGCACCCTGAGTGGGCTCTGTCTCACGGCCCGGGCCGAGGCTACCCCAAGGAAATGGGCCAACCCGGAGAGTAGGAGCCCGCCACCCTCTGGGGAAGAAAGCCGAGTTGGGGGTGGGCATTGGCTGGACCCTTCCTAATTAGGAAATACTCGGTGCCGGCAACCTGGAACACGCCGGAGCATCCCATCTCTCTTCACTTTAATCCTCATGGCAAACCTGTGGTGCAGATCTTTACCCCCATTGTACAGGCCGGAAACTGAGGCCCGGTGGAGAAAAGTGACCATCCCGAGCAGAGTAAGCAAGATTGAAGCTCAAAGTTGTTCCACTGCCAATACCAGGCCCTTGGGAGGGGGCGAGGGCTGGAGCAGGCTTCGGCACGGAGTTTGGGAAATTGCTGCGGGGAAGACTGTGAGGACTTCAGCAATCTCGCGACCGCCGGGGCAGATGTATGGGTGGGGCCAAGGATCCACGGGGTTGGCCTCCCCTAGGAGGGGACCATGCGAGGTGGGAGCCAGACCTCTGGAGTGGGCCTCAGAGAAGCAGTTCCAAGGCCAGGAGCAGCGAGGGACTGCGAGTGGGGAGGGGAGTGTGGCGGGGGCGGGGGGTGCTGAGGTTTGAGGACTGGTTTGAGTTCTCAAAACTAGGAAACCACGCAGCCCCGCGACCCCACAACCTTGCCCCATTCCTCACCCAC